AGGGATCCACCAGCTTGGATTAGTTTAGTGGTGTAGGCGTCGAAGTCACCAGGCTGAACTGTCTCGAAATACTTGTATAGTTGATCTCTGAAGACTGCCTAGAAAATGAATTGGAGTTGGTGAGGTTAGTTGAAGAATTACTCGCCTGCGGGTTCGTGTTTAGCTTGGGCCTTGACAGCACCCTTTCTTGCTTTTATTCTGACCCCCTGCAGCGAAGGCTTTGAGGTCGATGGTTGCTGAGACATGCACTGTCGCTGGACAAAACTCTACGTGGTCGGTAAACGCTGGTGAGTCGATCCAAGCTGTGCTAAGAGCAACTTGCAAGATAATCCTGATAACCGGACTTTGCCGGCCGGCTTGACATCAGAATCATGCCAGGCTAATTAGAACACACTGCACAAGTTCACCCCACACCCTCACCATGGCTCCTCGTTTCAGCGATTCCCCGAATGCCAGGTCAAAGTCTATCACAACCGCAGACCTGGATACCTATGGTGTACGTATTTTTACTCCAGATTGACCTAAATCTTATTTACCTTTCCTAGATCTTGAACAGGCATTCCACAAACCATCCAACCTTCCAAGTCGGTGTTTCCGAAGACAAGGGCACCAGGCGCACAATGGAAGACGCCCATTCTTTCGTAGTAGACTTTGACTCCATACGTGGCCAAGGGTTCTTCGCTGTCTTCGATGGTCATGCCGGGAAACATGCAGCTGAGTGGTGCGGAAACCATTTTCATGAGGTAGTTCATAACTGGCTGCCGGTGTTTGATCTCATTGATCTTGCAGTATTTATTGGAAGCAATACACGCCGCTTCACCGTCAGCACAAATACCAGATATCCTGAACAAGACTTTCCAGGCAGTCGACGACAGTCTTTCGAGAATGTGTGAAGAGTCTGATGGCAAGATACATTCTGGATGCACAGCTGTAACAGCTTTTCTCCGCATTGAAGACGAGGATGGCAAGCAATCCTTTATTCTCCCAGTGGAATCTCCTTTATCGGAGTCCCCTGTCAACCCTGAGTCGGATGACTCCAGTGGCCTGAATCCCGGAAGTGGCGCTGAAAGTGCGAGCGTACAGGACTCTGGTGATGAGGGAAAGCTAGCAGCTAAGATAAAGAAGAGCAAGTCTCCACTCAGCAGCGGACGTAGTCGTATTCGCAAGGCGTTCAAGAAGATTGGCTCCTCAAGCCGGGCAGCCACTCCCCGTTCCGCATCACCAGTGGATGCTCCGGAGCCGACAGGGGAAGGTTTCACCATCACCATCCCACCTGATGCCCAACGACGCGTGCTGTACAGTGCCAACGCAGGCGATGCTCGAGGGGTCTTATATCGTGCAGGCAAGGCTGTACGCCTCACCTACGACCACAAAGGTACCGACAAACAGGAGGCCAAGCGCATCACTGACGCAGGAGGCTTTGTGTTGAGCGGCCGTGTCAATGGAGTCCTTGCAGTTACGCGGAGCTTGGGAGATACCTCGATGAAAGAGTTTGTGGTTGGGGCACCATATACAACCGAAACGGAACTATGCGATGAAGATGAATTCTTGATTCTCGCCTGCGATGGGGTATGTGATCTTACTTGACTGCTCTCCTGCCACATGCTCACGGCGAATCATACGTAGCTATGGGACGTCATCAACGACCAGAGCGCATGCGAACTAATCCAGAATGTCGAGGATGCTCAAGCCGCGAGTCAAATACTTCTCCAACACGCACTCACTCAACACACAACCGACAACGTCACAGTTGTCGTTGTTCGCTTCAAGAACCCCGTTCAACAACCCAAGACTGCATAATCGCCTTGTTTTCCTTTTATTTTTATTGGCCAAAGCTGTTTTTAAGGGCTGCAAGGGGCATTTGGTACATAGTGAATCTATTTTAGCTTTTATGAACTCTTCAATAATACCCTCTGTGAATCCAACTTTCGAGTGAAATCGATGATCTCATTCATCGTGATATTACTAGCACCGGTACCACCGGCGTCACTTGGCTTTGATCTTGAATCACGATGATGCACCTGTAGCTATAGGTCCAGATTTGAAGGACCATTTAAGCTGCCCGTTTTCTCTAACCTTGATATCGCTTCAGCCTCGTTCCACCCGAACACGCCTCGTGTGCCCTCCCAGCCGCTAGCAGGGACCATTATGTTCGAACACCCCCCAGCGCCCGGACCAACGCCAGATTACCGTGGATATACACCGACACCACAACAGCCTACTTATGGCGACTACAAGGACCCATTCGAGAATGGGCGATTCCAGCCAAAGAAGAAGATAAATGACCCAGTATTCCTCGTTTTATTCATCCTCCAGGTTTGTGAAAGCTCCGAGAACAACCTAGAGCGTTACCTGAACACCTCAATCTGGCAGGTCCTCGGGTTTGCCGCGCTCTCTGGCGTCGCCTTGCACACTTGGATACAAGAGGGTGGCCTGGGAGGTGGTCTAGGGAAAGAAGGAGCGTCTTCTGGCTCTCCGGTCACATTGAACAGGTCCGTTGTACTGTTCCCCTCGTCGATGAAGCAGCACCAACCCGTTGACTGGTTCAAATTTCCAGGAGTACCGTATATCTTCTCCTCTTGGTCACTGCAACGGCCGTACTGCTGTCCTCGGCGTACTTGATGTTAACCCGCATGTTCACAAAGTCGATTATGCACATAACCCTAGTCTTGACCATCATTTTGAACATGTGCGTTTTGTCAAAGTAACGGCCTCGATACAATGCTGACCATGTCGTAGTGGAATTTGCATTTACTACTGGATCACCAAATTCTATCGTGCGTTTTCCTTTCAGGCTGCAGGATTTTTTTTTTACGGTGTCCCCAGCGGGCGCGATATTGTTCACAATCATTGCTATCCTCTCGGCGGTATCATACTTCGGGTTTAGGTCCCGCATACCCCTGGCTGCACTCTTGTTCCAAACCGTTATGGACGTTTCGAAGCACCATGTCAGCGTGTATGCTGTGGCTTTCACGGCTCTGTTGCTTCAAGCAGCTCTATCAGTGTGAGTGACCCATTTCCTGCAACTATTTGGTTGTATGGTGATTAACCCGATGTGTTGCAAACGACCAGATGGTATACCTTCACGGTGATTGCGACGTGAGTTGAACCGTCACTACCCCAATCTATACACAGACTAAACGGTTCCTAGATATTCGAAGTGGACACCCGGAAACCCCAGTAGGTTGTTTCAGCCTTGCGCAAACTTCAAGGTCATCTAACCTTCAAGAAAGGCTGCGGAGAGGCTTCTGCTTGTTCATCATCTAAAGTCGCCGGCCTCATTTTCTTTGAGACCTTTTCATTCATCTGGTCATCCCAAGTCATCGGAAATGTGGCGTTGGCCACAATGGCGGGTGGACCCTACGGTTCCTGGTACTACTTTGGGCCCCGTGAGCTGGGCGAAATGGCAAGTACACGACACGTTTTTCATCTTGTGGACAGACACCGTGACTGACAACTGGAATATTGTTCGCTTGTTTAGCCCAAGAATCCAACCATGGCCGCATTTGGCCGAGCGACTACCTTGTCGCTTGGCTCAATTGCCTTTGGATCGCTCATCGTGACAATATTGGAGATGATTAGGCTTGTATTGAGGGCCGTTCAGGACAATGCCACTGCTGATGGACATCGTGAGTTTTCCTGGGCGTTCGGCTTTAAGCTGGGTGTGTTTCTAACACATGAGTTATTCGCTTAGCCGTCCAAGCTGCTCTTGCGTGCTGCGCTGCCTGTTTCGTCGGGTGCCTGGAGAACCTGGTGGAATACTTCAACAGGTGAGAATATGTTCCTAAAATCTCCACAAGCATATTTCTCACTTCCTTGAAAAGATATGCATACATCGAGATCGCGCTTTATGGAAAGCCCTACATCGCAGCGGCCAAGGATACATTTAGGTTGTTCAAGGACAGAGGTGTGTAAGCTTCAAATGGCTGTTCAATGTATCTAACTTTGGAGCAGGGGTTGATGCCTTGGTTAATGACTCTTTGGTGGGAATGAGTGAGTCTCCTCGTCTGTGGCCACATATATGGATACTGATACTGCATAGCACTCATGTGGGGTGCATACGCAATTGGATTGCTGTGCTCGCTGTTCGCTTTCTTATACCTTAAAAGTAGGGCATCACATATGCGCTTTAGTTGATTGTATACTGACTTGTGCTCTTAGTCACGGCACCTCCATACAATGCAGGCGGACAATATACGGTCCCTGTACTGGTGTTCTCGTTTTTCATCGGTGTTGTTTGCTGTGAGTAGATCTTCGTGGTTCCAGGTGAAAACGTGCTGATGCCATTGCAATCCAGCGAACACCCTGGGATCGGCAATCGAAGCCGGTGTCTCAACAATGTACGTGCCAACTCGATTTGTTCCGAAAGAAATGAGCTTATTATGGCCCCCCAGCTTCGTCGGTCTTGGAGAAGATCCCCAAGTGCTCGCTATCCGCGCTCCAGAGCTGTTCGGGGTACGGAATCTTTCTCTACGCCTTTGTACTCTGGCTGACACGTCCCAAAGCTCATTGCCACCGCATATCCTCATGTCGTGCAAGGTGTACCGCGTCTCTGAAGCGAAAGTCGATTTGTCAGGATGGGACTCTCAGAACTGACCTTTTGCATTGTACTAGCCCAGACTGCTAATACTCGTATGTATCTCCATGACAATTTAATATAACAGAACGGTAGTTTCTTTCCGTGTTTCTTGTTTCTTGAATATTTCACAGCCCTATAAGGTAGCACCAAAGTATAGAGCGTCCGCCATTCTTGTTTTGGGTGCAAGTGTTGATGAATCATTATCTGTCCTTGTCGATTAGTGGTTAAATCATCTCGTTGTGGCTAAAAGCAACTCCGAGAAGCCGGAAGTTCGAATCCTCCTTGGGACACCTTTTTGCTCTCACATACCTCCCGCAACTATTTTCCAAATCGTACGGAATTATATTTGCATTTTTTAGAGAAAATCTTATCCCTTTTCGATTTGCCTCCCATATTCACAAGCGGCAGACCGTATTCGTAAGTCCTTGTCGATTAGTGGTTAAATCATCTCGTTGTGGCTACAAGCGACTCCGAGAAGCCGGAAGTTCGAATCCTCCCTGGGACACCTTTTTGCATTATCACACGTGGAATTGGGGCATCGCTACTGACGTCATAAATTAAGTCTTTAAAAAAGGTCAGAGTAAGTCTCCATTCTCCGCAGTCATTGCTTCGTTCTCTCCCTCAGATGACAGACATGAGGAAAATATCCTATGTTATCGCTTTTCTCGCTTTGGCAGTGGCCATAGTTTTGGTGAGTGCCAATTTCAATGAAATGTGTTGGTTGATTAATATGTGGCATAGAACATCTTCTCAACCTTCAGAAATGACTGGCAAGTGCTCACGTTACGGACGTAGTTTAAACGGGACTGATTTTCGTTTCAGGGTTACTGTGAAGTCTACCTCCGACATCCTGCATACCTCTGTCACGGACTTTTATGGCTTGCGACAAACCTGTCGGCTCACACTGACCGAAATCCCTGAGCCGGGTGGCAATGGTCATGGGAAGGTAACCTACAGAAACTACGAATGCAGACCATTCCCAGCATCGGTTACGGACGAATGCGAAGACAAGAACAGAGGATTCTGCGCTTCCTGGACCGGTGCAGCATATGTGGAGTATGTTAGCATCGGATTTGCCGCTGTCGCGCTGGTGGCCATTTTGTTTGGCATGACCACTCACTCTCGGAGAGTCAGAATATGGAAGGCATTAGCAGGATTAGCACTTGCTCAAAGTAAGTTGTGAAAATATGAGGTTGGCGAGAGTATCTGATTGAAATTCTTGAAATAGCGTTGTCCCAGGTTGTAGCCTTTGCTCTGGTCACGGATACATACCACCGCAATAAGTACCCCGGTTTCGACCACGGGAGACTTGGTACGTCCATGAAGTCGAGTCGTTTCCGCGTTGCATGCTCATGGCGTGGGTTAGGCATTGCCTGGGCGTTTTCTTTGTTATCTTGGATTACTAGTGCACTGGTGGCATTTGGTGTTGTCGTCACTGGAATTGCAGCCGATAAAGGATATAATTGGGCTGTGGGCAACCGCGATCGAGGATTGTACGAACGCATAAGAGACTGATGTGCAATGTAGCACGGTATTTCTAGCGTAAGACCGACTGACTGCATGTACTCGAGTATGTACTATAACTATTCTTTGTATTTCATATCACAACCACCGCCCACGTGTATATATCTGTCCACCCACATGCGCGCGTTAAAAATGTCTTTTTGTAAAGTACCACCACGACGGGGTGACAACCCGGGGAGCGCCGTCTTTTCCGGCCAGTGGTAACATGTCAGTGACGTTGGACTCTGATAAGTTTGTATCTTACGATTCAAAGCAGGTAAGTTCAGCATGAGATCCGGATGTCCGTGTGTCAGTGCTGTCAGAAACGATAATCACGGGTTACGTACGGTTTTACGGTTCACTCCTCTCACTCCTCTCTTCACCGTCATCGAGATGTCTTGACGTTTTCTAGGCTTCCGAGCCTTTGCTAGAGTCTAGACCACCAGCTTACCTGGTTTATTGCCTTTGTGGCATTAGCAGCTACCACGACCCAAGGCGTGTCTCGAGCAGCAAAATTTGCAGAAGCTGACTTGACAGTTCGGTCGTTTTCTCTGTGAACACTGACCCTAAAACAGTCTTAAACACCGGCATGGAAGATTCTGTGAAACAAGGAGGCTTTCCAAGTCGTGGCGGACGCCCCGGATCTTCGAGTTCGCTAAATGCTCGGGACTGCTATGCGGTGGTTTAGACACTAATTATAGGTTTATGCATTTCCTGTTTGTAGTGAGGATGACCAGCTCACTGACTGGACCACTGAGCTGAGCGCTGAGCTCCTTCGAGGCGAGCAGAATTATGCCAATGGAGTGCTTGTGGTGCAATTGGTATCCAGATTGAAACATAAGGCTGACGCGGAACTCCTATCTTTCAATGGATATCAACGAGCCGCGACGAGTTTTACCACAAGACTTGCGAATCGTGCCTGGTGCATGTTCACGCAAGGCATAGTGGCCAATCGAAGGGTGTGTATTTTTTGGGTCAAGTGCCATGTGGCTTGATAAACTCAATCTATTTTGTGTTATACTAGCTTACCGTTGTCCCCTGGTAGTGCCCGGTGTTAGCATGAACCTATGGTTACATCACTGTCTTAATCCGTCAAGGAAGTCGAGAAACCATGGCCGGGCTGGGGTACGTTTCGTCCCTGCCACTCATAAAGCACAATTTCCTTTGACATTCGCAATAGGGGACCATCTAGAGCTTGCGCTGTGATAATAAAGGTTAATTCCACTATGGTGTGGTTTCTAGAACGCGCGACGTTCACAGCTGCATGCTTGCTTGGAAAAAGGAAGTCCGGCAGATCTGGCTCACATTCATGCAGCCGCACTAACCCCAGATGGGATCAAGCTCTACACGGGTGACCTCAAGTGACGCAATGGCATGAGAGGCATGTTACTCAATAAAGAATTGCTGCATACGCTTGTGCTCATGCGATCTCCGAACCCTGCTGTCCGAATTTTGATCTCTCCACAAAGTTTGAACAATATTCGCCATGGGGTTAACGCACGCGAGATCCTATGTGGAAGCTTGCAAGACTGCGGGGTATAAATTGGATCCATCGTGCTTCTGCTTCGATAGCATTCAAGTTCGGAACCGCAATGCAGTTCTTTCTAACCTTCCTATCCCTTGCTCTTGCCTTCCGCACGGCGTCAGCAGCCGCTGTGTCGAGTCGAGCCTTGCCGGGTTTCGTTCAGACCAACGGAACGCGGTTTTCGCTCGATGGCCAGAAGTACACCGTTGTCGGGTGAGTGACCCTCAGACATTGCCGTCTCGTCGGATCTGCTAACGCGACGCGGGTCGACAGGGCAAACGCTTATTGGATATCCCTTGCTGGCCTCAGCAACAAAGACTTGGACAAGTCATTCTCAGATATCGCTTCCATGGGTGCTACATCTGTGCGTGTATGGTGAGTGGAAATCTTTGCCTAAGGAACCCAATCCCTTACCTTACCACGGAATTACAAGGGGACACAACGAGATGAGCGAACAATATATCTATCCCGCCGGTATTGTCTATCAAATTTGGTCTGGAAATAAGGCCAAAGTCAACTATGGGGAGAATGGTCTGGGCTACTTCGGTAAGTGTGCAGCACGTTACGAAATATTTGGTACTGATTGCGAATCCTTGACAGACCGTGTCATTGCCAGCGCCCGCAAGCACAACCTCCGACTGATTGTAGCATTGTAAGTCATCTTCTGGACATATCGACAAACGAGCAACTCAACTCACTGCAATCAATGTAGGACTAGCAATTATAACCAAGACTATATTACTGGCGGTATCAACACCTATATTAAACAGGTGCTCGGTCGCGATGAATTCCATGAAGTGTTCTTCACAAACTCGGAGATCAAGGTTTGTTACGCAAGAGCACAGTCCGGGTCAATTCTGACATTTCACTCTAGAGCGCGTACAAGAGCTATGTTACCGCTGTTGTAGAGCGCTACAAGGAAGAGGCTACCATACTTTCCTGGGAACTAGGTCACCACCTGAAATGCTCTGTGTCATGGCAGTAAGTAGCTTTTGTCAGCTTCTGTCTGAACAATGGAGGTCATAACGATGATTCCTTTTCAAGCCCCTACAACCCCAAATGCTCTACCGAGGCTATCACCTCATGGATTCAGGAGATGTCTTCTCACATCAAGACCATTGATCCCAACCACCTTGTAGCCGTTGGAGACGAAGGCTTCTACAACAGGGAAGGGAACTCTCGTTGGATCTACAAGTACGCCACTATGCCCTCTTCTATTCTCTCGGTGCTGATTGTTTTGTGTGTAGTGGGAGGGACGGAATTGATTTCGAAGCCAATATTGCATTGAAATCGATCGACTACGGAACATTCGCGGTAAGTCAACCGTTCCGACGTCCGTGACAACGTGTTGAAGTCTTGTTTGAAAGTATCGACCCGAATCTTATGAGCTCCGTAACACCGAGGAACCTCTTCAGTGGATAGAAGAGCACGGTAAATCGCAAGCCCGTGCTGGAAAGCCTGTCGTCTTGGCCGACATTGGGCTCGAAATCCGCGAGTCTTGGCTTGATAAGGTTGTTTCTTCCGGAATAGCCGGTACACTTTACTGGTATGTCGAATAATTGATGCTCCAGAGAGTTCTCCTGATTTTTATTCACACATCCAGGCAAGCCGGGAGCGACGGTATCAGCTTGTAAGCATTCTGCGTCACCGTGGGCTGTATTTTGAAACCTGATCAACCTTCCCCACAGAAACATGCCCTTCTGGTTCCACGGCGACTCGATTTCCACCGCCTCTACAGCATACGTTAACCTCCGAAAGCATGCTGAGGCTTTGAAGAAACAATAAACATCACGATACATATGAATGAAACGATCCTGACGACCGCAATATGTAGGCAGCAATGTAGATTTATACCCTCGATTACATTCTGTGTCAATAACAATTTTTGTATACAACCTTTTGGCTAGTTGCATCTGAATCAAATTCTCTTCCAAATCATTAATAGTCCTTGGCTTGCGTATTAATACGGGTCAATACTTGGGAACAGCTTGTATCGAATACATGTGATAAATGTTGTATTCCTGTTTTGATATCTAATGTTTGCTCTTCGGCGCATATACTAGTAGATGGCCATTATGGAACCGAGTTTATGCAGTGGGTCTAGGAGATTGAAGGAGGTTTCTCAGGCCACGACGGCGTAGCTATGTTGATGATACCCTTTTGGGTCCATCCATCGCTCGGGCTTGTGTTGTTTGAACACCCACTCTCCCAAACCCAGCTGTATAAGCGCCCAGATATTTTGACTGTCAAACTCTAACATACGGCCCCAAGTTAGACGATGGCCGAGCGCATTTATTTGCACCTGATTCGGTCCGGACATGTATCTCGGGTTATCAGATAAGGCTTTCCTACGGATAGATACCAGCAATTGACATGTTGCTGGGATGGCTTGGTGTCAGCGAACTGCGTTCCGAGTCGAAGACGCGCCCGTGGGGGGCACTGACCCAGAAACCTTCCACGACCATTCGCCAAACGAA